GTCTTTTTTACAAGAGGCACAGATTACAGCAGGAACCTGGAAGCACACATTACTATAGCTTCTTTGAGTTCCTTTGTATATCAAGAAAATAATGCACAGATGATAAATCCAAGGAAAACAGTAACTTATTTTGTAGGGATTAAAACTGCAATGCAAGAACACTAAGCCTTTAAGTAAACTTTCTTTGCATTTTATCTTGAAAACAAAGTTCTGACTATGCCAATATTTTTCAGCTTTTAGAAATGTGAGTTTAGGCCAATGTTATAGAACAAAGCAATCCTAACTAAAGAAATAGAAAATATTTATTTTCAATATTTTTATATTGCCAAATTACAAAAACCATAAGGGCTATCAAAAATAGTATATTAAACCATAACTTAAATCCCAAACTCAGAAAATTAAAAATAAAATTACAAATTAAAAACAGAATTAAAATGGCAACACAAAATGCAAGATAGCGCTTAGCAGAAAACCTGAGTTTTTAACAACTGTCCTCAAGTTGACAGATCCACCTGGATCTCAAGTGACAAATGTGTGCTTTACTTGTGTAAGTTTCAGATTTTAGGAGGAAGAATATTACAGTCAGGTCTTGGGTAGCCCAGATCCTTCTTCAAAATGCTATATGTTCCCTTTTGTACAGTACAGGTAGTCCTTCCTATCTGACCACAATAGGGACTGCAATTTAGGTCGCTAAGCAATTTGGTCATTAAGCAAATTGGAGCTGATTTTATGACCTTTTTACAATGGTCATTAAATGAATCACTGCGGTCATTAAGCAAAAGACATGGTCATTAAGCAAATCCAGCTCCCCAATGGATTTTTTTGCTGGAATTCGCTTAACAACCACGTGATTATATTTTTTTATATTTTTATAGTTTATATTTCCTTTAACAACTCCTGCTTCCTCTTCATTTCACTCTTCAAGAAAAGTACTCAGTAGGAAAAAAATCAACTTTTTGCCTTGCTTGTGGAATGGACTTGATTACTAGGTATACTGATTCTCCCAATTATTCAACAGAGAAAACTCGGAAAAATGTCCTATCCTAATATTCACAGGTGTAATCCTCATGTGTTCAGGCAGAGGACTGTTAGTTATTATTTCTCACACAAGCAATGGTGCTACAGATCCCCTTGAAATATACAAACTGGTGTTAAGCAAATCACATGGTCGTTAAGCGAATCCAGCTCCCCCAATGGGCATTTTTTGCTGGAATTTGCTTAACAACCACATGATTCGCTTAACCACAGTGATTCACTTAACACCCGTGATGATTCGCTTAACGACCATTGTAAAAAAGGTTGCAAATCACAATTACATGACTGTGGGGTTGTAAAGTACTTTTCTCAAGGCCGTTGGAACTCCAGACCATCATTAAACAAATGGTCATTAAGCGAGGACTACCTATAAGTTTACATATCTGAAGCACCTTCTCAAATTCAAAGTATTATGCTGTAACCTTTTTTTTTCCCAAGTGGAACCCTGTATTGGCTCATGGAAACTAAGTCACACTATTTCTGCAGTGATTTAAATTTAGGATCTTTCCACATGTCTCCATTCAGAAGCCAGCCATGTTGTCTTGATTGCTGCTGTTCCTGAAACTCAGAAAACATGCTCAGCCAATCAACCTTTCCTTACGGTTGACCAATAGAAAAAATGTTATCTGTCCCACCCCTGAGCTACTGCAGAACCTGCCAAAACAATGTTCCCCTGCCAAAACTCCATAATGCATGAAGTTAAAAAAACAAAATGCTAGCAATCTCTCCCTGGCAGGTTTTCAATGCATGCTTGCTTGTTTGGTACCAGGAGAAGCTATCTGGGTATCATGCTGTCACTCCTTGTGGGTTTATAGTCCTCCTTAGAGCTATGTTGAAAAATGACAAGTACAGGAGGGCTACAGTCCAAGAACAGGTAATAATTCTTATTTAAAGAAGTCCTAGGAGGCCTATGAACAACATACATTTTCATCAGTATTTTAATTTACTCTCTGTTCCCATTCCTTTTGAGAGTACAAGATGCAATAGATTGTTAGGCAGACACTCCCAGGAAAGCCTATATGGGCATGACAGGAATAGGATTTATACAGTCCTGGAAAAAATGCAGCATATTTAAAGCATATTCTTCAAGACCAAAGCCAGCTGGAAAAGAATGGGCTAAACTCTCTTTTGTTTTCCAATTTGCTATTGTAACAGTTTACAAAAGCCATGGGTCTCAGATCAGACAGTCATCCAAAAACAACTGATTTAAATATTTGAAATTCTCGCTGGAATAAAATGTTTGTTTTTCCTCTCTGATCTTGTGGGGTAGTATAATTTGAAAGTTAATTTCTTGCTTCATTTATTCCTATTACTTCAGCAGAATTTTATATGAAAACACATAAGGCAAAACACAATATTAAAAGTTGAAACTGTATAAAAATGTTAAAAGTATTTATCAAAACCCAACTTTTAAAAATATTTATTTCAAGTATTTCCCCTGCTCTGCGCAGATTTAGTTTATGTGTTTCGGGTAACTACTTTCTTCACTCAACAGGAGGCTCAAATCTGGACAAAAGGTAAACCAGGATCTGGCAGATTTCCTCTCTGGCTCTTTTCATAATTGTTATATAGAACCTGGGCTTTTGGAAATGGGAATAAAAATTAGCTGAGATCCCAGAATTCTTGGGTCAATCACTGTTCCATACCCACAAACAGATCACCTCTGCAGGAAAAGAAGAGGCCAGAAGTGGTATGTGAATCAGCTTTCATCTCTGGGCTGACACTACATTCATATTTGTCACCAAGCCTATTTCTGGTACCAAAGTAAATTGCAGTATAGGTTGAGTATCAGGGAGAAAGTAGCAAATGTGCCTTTTAAAATTTCTGTTTTTCTCATCTCTCTGTTCAGTCCAAAGAGCCCAAAGTAGAAGCAGAAGTATACTGTAGAAGCAAAAGTCTGGAACAAAAGATTGCACAAGAGGAGTCAATTTTCCAACCACCTACCAGGGTAGGAATAGGTATGGGCCTGGATTCCAGCCACCAGCTTGCTTCATATGCCCACTGAATTCATAATGTTATCTCCATATATATTAAAGTTTTACAAAAGTGATAACATTATTATCAGGCATGCATTTAGCATCAATTAACATCAACTGATCTTTTTTTAAAGAAACATTAGTATATATTATACCAAGGTGTCACTAAAAGATGAGACAGATATACTGTACGCACAGAGCACAGGGTGTGGAAGGGATTCAGATGAATGGAAAAGAAATTCAAAGACCAATAGAAGAGAAATTCAAAGACATTGTAAGAAGACTATCTATCTATCTATCTATCTATCTATCTATCTATCTATCTATCTATCTATCTTTAATAAGATATATTATCTTATATAATCACCCATCTCACAATATATTTTCTTTATAATAGGAGCCTGAAAATAAGTTAACTCCCAATAATTATATAATTACAGTATTATACCCTTTCTGTGAAAATTTAACACGTCCTTTCATATTTTATTATTATTTCAGTAGCAACCCATCCTCCATTCATTTATGCAAGTGTTTGAATGACTTGTCTTTTCTGATGAATGATGAGCAGCAATTGCATTTATGAAATTATAAATCTTCCTCTGGTCTAGAAATAATATCACACAAGGACTCCCAATGTTTCTTAACAATTTCCAGTAATCATATTAATCTCTCACAGCAAAATTATCTGTGTGACATCTTAAAGTACAATAAAAACAGATTTATCTTAGCATATGCTTTCTTGAGTAGAGGCCATGAAATTACCGCATTAATATAAGCCCCTTGGAATATTTTATGGAAAATCAGCATAGGAGGGAAGGTTTTTTTTTTTTAACTGAAAATTAAATACTTTAATTTAGAAGAAGATATTTAGGAAAGGTTTGATATATTGGCACTCATAGTCCCCCAGCATACAAGGGTTCACTCAGAAAAATGAGAAGAAATTATACTTTACTCACAACAGAGGATGTTGCTATGAATGGCAACTCAAGGTCACATTCGCTCTTTTTTTCTCTGTAATTGTAGGACCATACCCCTTTATTGTGATGTTGTCAAATGACACAAATTGGCTGGAAATTAGTCCTGTCATATCTGGAAAGTACCAAGTTGGCAAAACTTGGGAGAAACAGGTCTTCATATGGGAATGATATTTTTGGCAGTGCTACCACATTACATGTAATGTGTAGGTTCAATGTTACGACTTGCAGATGTTATCCAAAGAAAGCAGGGATCAGCAGAAAGATCACTTTGGGCTATACATAAGGTCAAATTATGTCATTTAAGAAGTGTGCTATGGTAGATAAAGGTCAAATTTGTACCTGAGTTCAAAACTGACCTCACCTGTACTACTAATGCTCAGATAATCTCTCTACTGCTTCTGTGATGCCTGCTTTGAAGTTCTGGTACCAACAACATGACTATTTTTATTTATAAAAAGAATATGGCATATTTTCATTGGTTTTTTATTTTAAACCTGTAAAAACTCTATTAAAATAGTTATCTCAACTAGCCTTAAGAAATTCGTGAAATCACATATGACTATACCCTTATATTTATTTTTATATTTCAAATTTAGATACTGCCCATCTCACAAAAAAGTGACTCTGGGCGGTTCACAA